ACCCACTTGCCCTCCTGAGGGCCTAACTTTGAGGCCCCAGGCCGGGAGGCCAACAGCAGCTCAACCAAAGCCCTACTGGGCAGGTCGCCAAAAACAACACAGAGGTGAGGGGGAGGAGGGGGAGGGGCTCCCACTCTTGGGCCTCCAGGGCACTCCGGGACCTCCTTGGCACCTTCCTCCCACTGTGCTCACCCGGTATCCACTTCCCCAGGGCACAGAGATCACACTACCTGTGCTCCCCAGCCCCCCTGGCCCAGTTCCATCTCCCCATACCCTGGGGCTCCTGCCCTAGTGTGCAAGTGGGTGCACACCCACTTGCACAACTCCCAGGCCCTTCAAATTTAACCTTCTGGCACCCCCAAACTCCCAGGTGTGGGTAAGGATAATTAGATGCCTTCATGTTGTCTGGGGCGGGGGGGGGGGGCGCTGGCTGTGCATAGGACTAAGGTATGTCTTGGGGCTAGAGACCCAGCACTCTGAGGGAATCCTCCCTCCCTAGCCCCAGTCTGGTGGCAGGAGCTACCTCCTGCCCCTGCTGGTCTAGAAACTCCAGGGAAAGGTCCAGGGTCTCCTGGGATAGAGCTGAGAGAGCTTGCCCTGAAGCCCAGAAATCCACTCTCCTTGGCAGGGGGGGAGTCTCACCACAGAGGTACCCAAGAGATGGGGTTCAGGTATGCATAGAGCCCCCACAAGTCTGTCAAGACTAGAGACCCAGGCTTTGGAGAGACCTCTAGAAAGTTAGCTTTGGCCACAGCCCTCCCAGGGCACACAGGCAGCAAAGTCAAGGGGAAGGGGCTTTAGCAAGTGCTGAGAAAGCAATGAGCTTTGCTTTAAGCAGTAGAGCCCTCTGTTCTGAAGTGCTCTTACAGGCATCCCCATTAAGGCAACATAAATGCAGAAATGCTCTTGCTGAATCGGGGGTTGGGGTTGGAACTCCAGCTAGTCAGTCTTTCCCAGCCCACTGCCAGAAAACTCGTGCCTCCAAAGAAGACATCAGAAAAACCACCTGCTAAAGGCAACTCCAATGAGGCTGAGAATTTTGGTCTGTTTTATTCACTGCTGCCACATAATGGCCCAGCGCCTAGAACAAACTGGCACACAGTAGGCACTCAAACAAACTTGAATGAATGCATTTCAACCCATTCACTCTATAGGTGAGGAAACTGAGGTCCACAGAGGTTACATGATTTGCCTAACGATACACAGCAAGGGGTGACCCAGCTCCCTCTATGGCTCTCCCACAGTCACTCCTTAGAGAACAGAACAGTCCTCCCACCCCAAGACCCCAAATCAAAGACCCACAAGCCTCTCTCCGCAGCCTGAGCACTCAGGGCAGGATCTCTGCTAGACAGTCATCCCACCAAGCACTCACTTGTCTTTGCGGCCTTGACCTTAGCCACAAGTTTCTGCACACCAGTCACATCTCCGTTCTTGACGGCGAGGATCAGGTCCTGTTCACGACCCATTCCGGTCCCTGGGCTGGGCTCTGGGATCAGGAGTCCAGGGCAGAGGCAGGAAAACTTTAGGTCTAAGCCAAGGCGTCAGGGTGCCATGCCTTGGACCTCTGGAGGGCCAGGTGTCTCCTGGGGGAGCGTGTCTGGTGTCCCAGCAGGGGGCTTCTTGTTACGCACTGACGGGTACTCCCTCAAAATGTTTCATGAGCAGCCACCACAAGCAGGAAAACCGATCTCTGAGGGGGTGGAGGCCGTGTGGAAACCCGGACAGATAGCTGCTTGCCGCGGCTGACGGCCCAGGGATGGGCTGGGACTGGGCACGCCAATCTTCCCAGCGTGGCTCAGGAGCACCAATGCCCACCCAGAGAGCAGTCAGCATTCCCTCGGGCCTCGGGAAGCAGCAGTGGACAAGTCTCAGGGGTCTGGAAAAGGTGTAGTGCCTCTGCTGAAGGCTGGGCCAGGCCTGAAAGGGTCCCAGAAGCGGGGCTCAGAAGAGTAGGACAGGGCTTCCACGGAGCCCCCAAACCACCCTAGCTGCCCTTCTGAGTCAAGGAAGGGCCAAGCCACTCAAAGCAGGGAGACAGCTGCCAGGCATGAGAGGAGTATTTGGGGGGAGGCGGTGACTTTCTGGGAGAGGGAGGCTGAGTCATGGAGGCCCCAGGGCACCTGGCAGCACCTCAACCTGAGGCAGGAGGGGCAGCTGGCAACACGACACACTGGGGCAGGCTGGGCCCAGCAGCCTGTTCTCCACAGCCCGGGGCTCTGACACCCACAGACAACTGGTGGGCCAGGAGGTGAGGCCTGGAAGGGTCAGGCACAGGCAGACACACAGCGGTCACTCCCTGTGGAAAGTACCTGCCCCCACACTCCTCCCAATCTAAGCTTTACTGTAATAGCTGGATGCCCTAGCCCCAGGCTCTGTACGAATTCAGAGGGTGGAGTGGGGAGCTTACAGCTCCCCATTTCTGGCGGGTGTCTGAGTGCTGGACAGGGAGGCTTTATAGCACCTGTTGCTGACCCATCCTCACCCCTTGCGCGGGAGAGGAAAGCAGCTGGGCAGAGAAGAGACAGGAGCTGGGGGCACTGCTGAGAGACTGGGCTGCGGGGCCCCCCAAGCCTGAACCTGAGGCCCGGAGCCCCGACTTCGCTGCAGAAAAGCTTACGTCAGTTCTCAGGGGCCAGGAATTTGTTGCCCGAGCCCCGTGGCATGAGACCCATGCAGGCCTGGGGCCCTGGCTGGGGTCTCCTTACTCCCAGAACGTCCCAAGCCCGACACGGATGGGACTCCTGCTCTCGCCCGCAGCCAACACAGGAGGAGGACGCCCCCGGCAGTGCTTGGGGTCGGGCTGGCTCCCCCGCCCCCCGGAATGCCCGTCCAGCGCCGCGCAATCCCCCAACCCAGCCCAACCCAGGCCGACCAGGGAACAAAGCGGCGGGAGCGACCGGGAGAGCCCAGCGCGGGCGGGACTGATGCGGGAGGACGGAACGGGGGCGCGAGAAGGACGGAAGGAGCAGAGAGACGAGGGCGCCCGCCGATCCCGAAAGAAAAGTTAGTTGGCGCCCGCCCTCAAAGGTGCTGACCCCCCGCGCAGCCCCCGCGGTCTCACCTTTCCCCGCCGCCCCGCCGGGGGTCTGGCTGGCCCTGCCCGGTCCCTGGCACTCTGGACGGTGGCTCCCACTGCCCCCCTTACCCCTTTCTCCTCCCTCTCCTCCTTTTCCAAGGCCGGCTCGGCGCCTCCCGCAGGAAATCCCGCCCCTCCCCCCTCCCTCCCGCCGGATCGCGAGCGGAGGGACCGTCCCGGCCTCGCAGTCGGGCTGTCAGTCAGCGCCCGCGGCCCCGCCCCTGCCCGTACCAGACCCCGCCCCCGCTGCGTCCGTCCGGACCCGGCACGCTGGCCGGGTCAGCGCATGCGCCCAGGTGAACCGGCGCGGTGGGGCCGGGAGTGCGCGCCCAGCATCCCAGTGGCGGAGCGGCCGGGACCTGAGGCCCTGGAGTTCAGACCCAAGGGCGAGATGCCCTGTTGATGACTGAGTGGGAGAGAAGACGTGATGTGAAGGGGTCTGGAAGCCGAGACCTGGGGACCCCACTCGGGAAGCCCCCTTTCCTCTTCGCCCCTCGCCCCTCCTGGGACGCCCACATCGACCTCCGCTCGCGGCCACAGGCGCCGCCACCAGCCGCTGGTTGGAGCAATGGTGCCACCTAGCGGGCCAGGTCGGAGCGGCCCACGGTGGCGGCGGCGGGGACCCCAGCCTCGAGGAGGTGCTGGTGACTGGCTGGAGTGGCGCTTCAGCACCATCGTGGGCCGGACAGCTCCTCCCGCCCCCCCGGCCCGCGAAACCTGGCTTCCGAGCCCCTAGGAAGGAACCCAGCGGAAGCCCCAGAGGACGTCTGAATCCACCCAGACCGTATCTGACACTCCCCGGTGGCCAGTCTGCGAAGCTGGAATGCGGGAACCCATGACTCTCCCTCCTCTAAAGCCTCCCTCTTTCCCCCTTGTCCGGCCTGAGTGGTGAGGACTAAGCGGCCCAGGGCTGCGGAGGGGCCGGTCACGCATTTGAGTGTCCACACTCCGCTCTGAGACGCCGGGCTCCTCGACTTTTACTAGAGAGGATCCCGGAGGAGGGCTTGGGAGGAGAGGCGAGCTCCTACAAATCCAGACACCTGCAGTCTCTCTGCCCCCGGAATCGCGGCGCAAACTTGTTGGCAGGCGCTTAGGACGGCCAGGGAGTCGTGGAAAGCCGGCTGGTGGAGCCGGGGGCTCGTGGCGCGGCGGGAGGATCCGCGGGCGCTAGGGCCACGCGGAGTTCCGGCGGTGGGCGGGCCGGGGGCGGTGCGCGCGCAGCCGCAGACGGCGGCCCGATGGAGCCCGAGCTCGAGCCCGGCGCGGTGGAGGTTCCCGCCGGGCGCGTGCTCAGGTGCGGTCCGGCCCGCGGAGGCGCGGGGCCCGCGGAGAGGGCGTGGGGGGAGGGCGCGGGGACCCCGGACGCGCCCCAGGGCGCCGCGCTGACCCCGCGTCCCTTCCTTCCGCAGCGCCCGGGAGCTTCTCGCCGCCCGCTCGCGGTCCCAGAAGCTGCCTCAGCGCTCGCATGGGCCCAAGGACTTCCTCCCCGACGGCTCGGCCTCCCAGGCGGAGCGGCTGCGCGTGTGCCGCGAGGAGCTCTGGCAGCTGCTGGCGGAGGAGCGCGTGGAGCGCCTGTGAGGGGGCCGGGCCGGGGCGGGCCGGGGGGGGGGGGCGGGGGCGGCCGGACCGCGGCCCCTGGGCGGGGGGACACTCACACCGACCCTCTCCCCGCTCTTGGCCAGGGGCAGTTTGGTGGCTGCCGAGTGGAGGCCGGAAGAGGGCTTCGTGGAATTGAAGTCTCCAGCGGTAAGCGGCGGGGCGCAGGGAGGGGGACCCGCCTTCTCCGCCTTGCAGGCTCCTTGGTGACATTTGCTGTGGGTCCTGCACAGGGTAAATTCTGGCAGACCATGGGCTTCTCGGAACAGGGCCGCCAGCGGCTTCACCCCGAAGAGGCCTTGTACCTGCTGGAGTGTGTGAGTGGGGCCCCTGGAGCGTGAGGAAGGGTTGGGAGCAAGGACCTGAAAGGACGTGTTTTAACTGGAGAAAAATTCAAGAAGCTTGTAACCCGGATTCTACAACTGGGGAGACAAGAATACCGTGCAGAGAGCCGGGATTCCCTTCAAATGAGGGGGTGGTGCCCTCCTTTTGTGGTTGGCCACATTCTTGTTGTGACGCTGGCGATGGGGGGGGGGGCGCCCATATATCACCGCCTGGAAGTTGTTCCTTTAGTTGAGCCACTGCAGGAGGGAACACAAGCTGAGTGGTTGGCCCCACTTCCAGGGCTCCATCCAACTTTTCCACCAAGACCTGCCACTGTCTATTCAGGAGGCCTACCAGCTACTGCTGACTGAGGACGCTGTGACTTTTCTGCAGTACCAGGTATCTGCCACCCTCTCCCAGGAGAGGAGCCACCCATCCATTGAATCAGGTGCTAGACACCAGTGAGTACCCGTGAGGTGCTGGACGCAGAGCTATGTGCCAGGACAAGACAGCCAAGGGCTCTGCTGTCATGGTGCTTGCATCCTAGTGGTGGCAATTGGGAATAAGTGAGCACCAACTGAATGGTTGACTTCACAGAACTGAGGGCTGGGAAGAAAACAAAGCCGGGGAGGAGCATAAGGCTAGAGATATAAATGTGGACATCATGAGCACATGGATGGTGTTTAAAACCACAGGGCAGAGTAGAGGGTTGTGTCTGAGACCTGGAGCATTTCAGTTGTGAGGAGGTACGGGAGAAGATAAGGAGCCAGAAACAGGGACCAAGGAGCGTCTGACAACGCTGGACAAAAACCAGGAGAGGTGGTATCACAGAGCCAAGAGAAGGAAGTTGTCAGCTGTGTTGAAGGCTGCTGAGAGATCAAACAGGATGGGGGCATTCCTGCTTACATCTCTCTGATGTGGGTATCAGAACACAAGGATGGACAGGTTCTTTACCAAAGACCACTCCTACCCTGCCTGTGTCTGGAGGTGTAGGGTGGAGTAGCACGGGCAGGGGGTGTGTTATCACCTTTTGCCACTTTCTTGTTCATGTTGTGGTCAGGAGCTTCACTCTCGACAGCTTTGGTATCATAACATGCTAGCACCTAGTTCTTTTCCTGATTCATCATGTATCAGCGTTTTTGAGATTTTGCGTTTAAATCAAGAAACTGTTCAGTGTCATTTGTGCCCATAGTAAGGTGGGCAAGTGACAGGAATTCAGAAACAGACCTTAGTTTGGAGAGGGTGTTTATAACAGAATATAGTCCAGCCAGTCCCAGGGCGTGGAATTGGGGTGTGCAGGAGGAGCGGGGGGGGGGGGGGGGCGTGTGGGGAGTGGCTCCTGTTTGGAGGGATTATTTGGTATTTTCAAAGGTGGACCTCTGATCTTTACTTTTTCTCTTTGAGGTCTTCAGCCACCTGAAGAGACTGGGCTATGTGGTTCGACGATTCCAACCAAGGTAAATCCCGATCCCATTTTCCTCCCATTTGTTCCAGTCCTGGGACCTGGTAGACTAGCCCCAAATTGGAAAATGGCCTCTCATTACCTGGAATCCTTCGGTGGAGCTGCAGCTTCCTGGGCATGGGCTGGGGGCCTTTGTTGGAAGTGCCCTATTGAGAGACACGTTGGGACAAGTCTCAGTCATTTCAGCTCATCCTGGGTTATCAAATTGAGCCCCATCTTCAGCCCACTCCCTCCGCAGATAACAGTCGAGCACTTACAGCTCAGGACAGTGCACTGGCACATAGCTGTAGTGCCAGGACGATGCCTTAGTAGGTGTGTAAGCAGATTCATAAGTGCATGCATGAATGAAGGGCCAAGTGAGGAATTAATAGTTGAGTAGGGTCTCACATTCCTTTTGCTAAGTTAGATGTTCTTTCCTTCTGGGGCCTCTAAAGATGATCACCTTAGTAGCCCAGCATTGCTAAGAGCCACAGAGACCATCAGCTAAAGAGTGGAAACTGGTATACTCTTTACTGTTTCCCAGCATGTCACGAAAGCTCTAGAACAGGTATGTCTTTTAGTTCCTAAAAGTGGGATATATACTCAGGAAATAGTCACAGAAGTATGCATAAGTTCACCTGTGAGAATGTTCATTCATTCATTAATATCTGTTGATCCCTTACTGGGTGCCAGGCACTGTGCTCATTGCTGAGGAATAGCAAAGAGCAAAATCACTGCCCCTATAGAACTTGCATTTAGTGGGGAGCTTACACAAAACATCACTTTGCAAAATTGGCAAACTCGAAAACATCCTGTGAGTTCAATGGGGAAGGGATGGTCACACAAATTAGAGTTTATCCCTTAGACCAGCACTGTCCTGTAGAACTTTCTGCAGTGATAAAAACGTTCCAGGCCTCTGCTGTCCAATATATGTGGCTTGTGCAACTGTGAGACTGAATTTTTGTTTAATCTTAATGGGTTTAAATTTAACCTTAATAGCCCCTTCTGTTTAGTGGATACCATTTGGACAGTGCAGCCTTAGCATCGTAAAAAAATCATGGTAGGGAAGAATGCTATAGTGAGAAAGGGCTATGTCCATAATATATTATCGAGAGTAAGAAAAGATTAAACCGTTGTATATTAGGACAATGTCTTTTCTTTTTTTAGATTTTATTTATTTGTGGGGGGGAGTACAGGAATTTGGAAGGGGGTATAGAGGGAGAAGGAGAAGCAGACTCCCTGCTGAGCAGGGAGCCTGATGTGGGGTTTGATCCCAAGACCCTGGGATCATGACCTGAGCTGAAGGCAGACGCTTAACCGAATGAGCCACCCAGGTGCCCCAGTACAATACCATTTTTGATAGAAAAAAAAAAATACGGAGACAGGATGTGTTTATAAGAACTAAAAGTGTTACAGTGAGTATTTTTATTTTTCTTATTTTCCAAGTGTCCGTTTCTCTTGATTTTTCTCACCCATGATTAATCATTTACTGCTGGCTGTGTGGGAGCCCCGGTTCCAGTAAATCTCTGTTCAAAGGGGCCACTGGTGGATCCCAGAGGCCTGGGCAGAGACATATGAGCAGGCAGGCCCCTGTGGTTGCCCCCATTTACCCTGCTTGCAGGTCTGCCCAGGGACTTAGCCCTTGGGTTTGGCTTTGACTCTGGCCCCCTAACTTATCCTCTGGGCCAGTCCCTCACAAATTCCCCCTGGGAACTCCAGGCTGAGGAGATGGTCTGTTGCCCACCCAATTCTCACTCCACAGCTCCATCCTGTCCCCTTATGAGAGACAGCTGAACTTGGATGGCAGTGCCCAGTGCCTAGAGGATCAGAATGGCAAAAGGAAGAGGAGGAGCTCCAGCTTTCGGTAATGTTCCCCACATGGCCACCCGCTGCCCCCTGGGAGTTCTGGGGAGCAGAGCTGTTGAGGGAGTGCTGGTTTGGGGACCTTGGAGAATTCATTGGCTTAAGAGCTGGGCTTGGGCAGCTCCCTTGTAGGATCCTGGAGGCAGTATAATATGTGTGGGACATGTGCACTTCAGCAATCAAGAGCAGACGTGCTGCATTTCCTCCTCACGTCCCTCAGGTCTATTAATAAGAAGGCCAAGGCCCTGGAGAATCCCCCACAGGGGGTGGATGAGACACCTGAGAGCCTGACAGCCTCCAGCCCACCTCCCTGCAACCAGAACAGCCGATGCCCAGAGGAGAAACCTCAGGAGTCAAGCCCTGTAAAGGGCCCAATGGGCCCATCTCAGCTTCTGGGAGCCCTGGAGCCCTGGCCTGGCCTGGCTAACGAGGGGGTGGGGTGCAGCCCGGAGAGTGGCAAAGTAGAGAACAGGGTCAAGGGGTTTTGTAAGCCACGCTGGAACTTTGAACAGATCTCCTTCCCCAACATGGCTTCAGATAGCCGCCACACCCTTCTGCTTGCCCCAGCCCCAGAGCTGCTCCCAGCCAATGTCGCTGGGCGGGAGACAGATGCTGAATCCTGGTGCCAGAAGCTGAACCAAAGGAAGGAGAAGCTCTCGAGGCGGGAACGGGAGCAACAAGCAGAGGCCCAGCGCTTCCGGGAGGGTGTAAATTCAGATCCCGAGGTGCAGTGCTGCTCCAACTGGCAGGAGTACAAGCAGCTGCTGCAGAGGAGGTGTCTGCAGAAGAGCCAGAGCCGCCCCCCGCACCTGTGGGAACAACCTGTCAGACCCTTGCTGAGTCCTGGCCAGGCAGACTCCCCAGGTACCCGCCCCCCTCACCCAGCCAAAACCCCACAGGCCCCTGACAGCTGAGGAATCAAAAGATTTTGAAAGGGGCATGGATTGGCCATAACCAATTGAGGCTTAAGAAAGATGGGGCAGAGAGAGCTATCCGGGGGAGTGGAACCCATAAGGACAGTCTGTTCTCCTGGAAAGCAGCAAAAGGACCCATGTGGGAAGGCGTGGAAATGGCAAGTCAGTGTCCAGGGAGAGGCGAGGGGGAACGAAACTACAACTACATCCTTAAAATAAAAACAAGATACATGTGGATAGCTCTGCCACCGACTAGCTGTGGTCCCCTGTTCTCGTAGCTCTGTGAGAGGGGAGCAAGAGGTCATCCTGGCCAAATCAAAGGAAGGCTTACTGTATGCCCTGTGTGTTTAAGAATGGAACTAATAGGGCAAGATTGGTATTAACAGTTTTAGGATTCTTTATAATCCTTATGAGAACACGGGAGATGTCACCATAAGTATATTCCAAATATTGCATGGGACATACCTATAACTTTTTTTTAACCTGCTAAGTCTGGCAACCCTAAACTAGATGGCAGGTTCAGAAACATCAGAGGAGTCTGCAGATGGTTGACTTCCCTCCCCAACACCTTATTTTCACTGTCCTTGTAGCCATAGCCCTTCAGCGTATCTCTGTGCTGCAGACCACACACCTTGCTGATGGAGGTGCCCGGTGAGTTTCCAGGTAGTGCCTGTCTCCATAGTACCTTGGCTGCCAGCAGTTGGCAGCTGGGACTTGACTCCTGAAGTTGGGCACGAGCTGGGGGATCATTCCAGAGCCTTCAGCCTGGCTGATACTCATGTGTCTAGGGGAGAGGGAGGGATGAGAGGCAAGAGGTGGACTAAGCCTGAGGATTCTGAGGTAGGCAGCCAAACCTCCCCCTGCCCAAGTGGCACCTCACAGCAGGACCTGCATCCCTGTGGATGAGGCTGCTTCCTGGAACTGTGGGAGGGAAAGAGCGGGGCATGAAAGAAAAGGGAGAGGAGGAGAAAGATCCCTGTTTCTTAAAGTTTCTTCCTCTGTCCACAGGCTGCTGGAAAAGTCTGGGGGCTTGGAGATCAGCTTTGACATTTATCAGGCCGATGCCGTGGCCACATTCCGAAAAAATAACCCCGGCAAACCCTACGCCCGGATGTGCATTAGTGGGTACGAGACCAGTGATCCTGCCCCCAGGCTGCTGCCAGTTCTCTTGTAAACCAAGTGGACCTCTCCTCCCCACCCCTAGCCAGTTTGCCAATCTGAGAGGAACCAGAGGTCCAGAGAGCTGTCATTGATGCAGGCCACGCAGCCAGTCAGTACTTATAGGAACCATACCAAGTCCTAAGCCCTAATTTCTGGCGTCTCTCTCCTGTGCCAATTTACTGCAGGGCTCACCCAGCAGAAGGGTTGGGAATCAGAGGGATTCACAGGCTATGAGTGGTAAGAACCTCACTCTTCCTAGCCCTGGTACTCAACCAAGGCTCTGGTCACTCTTGGAGAACTTACTAGAACCATGCAGTTTGCAGACAGGAGAGTCCAGAGGCCATTTGGGTTCTTGCACCCCCAACTCTTGTCTAATTCCCCCCTCCCTGGTAGCCTGAGAGGGCTGGGGTCTCAGAGCTTATGGGCGGCCTATGCCTACGTTTCTGTCTAACTTTATCCCTGCAGATTTGATGAGCCAGTTCCAGACCTCTGTACCCTCAAGCGGCTGTCCTACCAGAGTGGGGATGTTCCTCTGATCTTTGCCCTGGTGGATCATGGCGACATCTCCTTCTACAGCTTCAGGGACTTCACGCTGCCCAGAGATCTGGAACACTAATGACACTGCTCTGGCAGGGCATGGGACCTGCTCTGGGGGACCTGGACTGTCTATTCTCAGGGACCATCTCAGCTGCCTCCTATACCCAGACTCACCTGTAGCTTCAGGGGCTAGTCTGGGCCTTGGCCCTGAGTGTCTGATGCTTGCAGGAGAACGAAGCCATGCCCCTCCCCTCCCCCCACCTGGCTTCCATAGTCCCAGGCCTGAGATTGCTGTCTTGCTGTGATGCTTTGGAACTCAGGACTAGATTTCAGAGACCCAGCGGGGTGGGGCAGAAGAGAGGACTCTGTGCCTTTAATCGAGAGGGTGCCTGCTTCGTGCGATAAAGCCAAAGCCATTAAAAAATAGATCGCTCTAATGCAGTGGCTGGAGATGGTGCAAAATTCCCCGGCCCGAGCCTCAGGCCACCACCCCTCAAGTCCCGATGTCCGTGGAGCAGGCTCCAGGCCCTCACCCCTCCTTTGCCAACCCGCAGACCGTGCTTTCTCTGGTGCGGGAGCCAGGTCCCCGCGAGGGCAAGAACGCGACCCCGCACTTTCCTCAGGCCCTGCGCCCAGGGGACAGGAAATCACAGACCTAATCAGCTTGGCTTTCTCAATGGTCGTCCACGGGGAGGAGGCTGGCGCTCCATCGGGCCTTCCCTGAACTCCCCCGCTTCGGGGTAGAAGGGCGGCGGAGAGGCGCCATGTCGGCGTAGCTTGAACGCTAGCGGCTTCGGAGCGCGCCATTCGCACCCCTGGCCTCCGCGCCTCTTCCGCTCCCGCCTCTCGTCGCTCCACCTCGCTCCGCAGTTGTGCTAAAAACTGGTCACTGTTGTCCTTTGGGGCCTCGGGCGCCTTCTTGACTCCGCAGCAACTTGGCGGACTGGGGTCAGGGCTCGGGGCCCGCCCCGAGGGGAGGCGCCTGGAGGCAACGCCCCCGTCCCCAAGCCACCCCGCCGTGGGGTCCCGAAACCGGGCCCAGTGGCCGCCGGTCACCCGCTCTGATTGGGTTGTGCGTCTTCGGGAAGAGCAGGCCCGGCTACGTCCCTCCCTCGGCCGCTCGGGGCCGGCGGGGGAGGGACGGCTCCCCTCCGCGGTCCGGCCTGGGAGGCGGGCCAGGCTGCCGCGCGTCCCAGGGACTATTTCTTCCCGGACGCGGCAGGACATTGGGCGCGGCGCGCCGCCCTGAGTCCAGGTGTGCTCAGGTGAGACAGGGGCGGGCCCTAGGCGCCTCGTGCATATTCAGGCGGCCGCGGCCCCGCCCCCGCGCTCCCCGGGACCGCGGATTGGCCCGAGAGCGGCCGCCGCCCGCCCCCCGAGGGCGCCCTCGCTGCGCGCCCGCCCCGTCGGCTCCGAGCTGCGGGAGGCGGGGCCAGGCCCGGGGGCGGGGCCGCTGGGGCCCGGCGCTCGGGGCTCCGCGAGCCCGTCCGGCTCGCCCTTTATGTAAATAGCGGCGGCTCCGCCCCCTGCTCGCCGCGCCGGAGGTGAGCAGGAAGGAGTCTGCCGCCCAGCAGCCCGTGGCCCGGCTGCGGAGAGAGCGGAGCCGGCGGCGGGGGCCGTGGAACGCCGAGGCCTCGGGCGGGGGCCGGCCTGGGGCTCCAGGTGAGGCGCGGGCCCGGAAACACCGAGCCGGGTCCGCCCCCTCGGAGCGCCCTCCGCTCGGGGCGGGAAGGCGGGAGAGGGCCGGGACCCCTGCTTTGCCCGGGCGGGGCGGGGAGGGCTGGTCCGCGCGTCGCCCTGGATCCCGGGGCTCCGTTCGTCCCGGCGAAAGACACCTGTAGGAAGCGCGGCTGGGAACTTTTCCCTGCCAGATCCGTCCGCGTTTACTGAATTCGAGCTCCAGGTTTGCCTAGTACTGTTGGTTTGGGGAAACGGGGAAACAAGTGCCCGGCCTGGCTGAGTGCAGGAGGTCACCGCGGGCGGGGGTGGGATCCCGGGACCGTGGGCCCACGTGCAGGGCGCCTGGCCCGAGTGCTGGCGACGCGCGGCTCAGGTATCCGGCTCTCCGCGAGCGGCGGCCGCAGCGCGTTACCTCGCCGGCTTAGACCCTGCCCCTGCCATCTGGGCCCGCTCCCTGCCGGCCCTTTGTGCCTCCTAATCCCCGGACGCAGGAAGCCCGCGGGAGGGACTTCGGTCTCTGGGCCTTTCTCCGCCTGGGGCGGCCTTGGACACCTTTAAGGGAAGGCATGGAGATCCGGTATGTTTTCCACGACGACGGGGGTGGGGTCGCGCTGTGATACGGTGGGACTTGGTGAGAAGAGGAAAATACCGTCTTGCTGAACTAAGTGTGCAACGCTTGCCCCTGGTTCGCCCTCGCCGGGCAGTTTGTAGGCGCGCTGAGCTTTAGCTGTGGGGGGACCCGACTGTAACCAGGAGAACCGCGGTGTGGCGGCCTCGGGCTCTCACCTGAGACAAGGTGAACTCTGGGTGAGGGGGCAGGGCTTAGACTCCGTGCCCCTTCCCCTGGGGATCCATGTGCCAGATGCGGGGCGTCTTAATGTGGGCTCTGGGGATCGATCCTCTGCAGAGTTTACAACTCAAAGTCCTCTGTCAGGCTGCAGAGGGGATTGCCAGCTGGGAGCTGAGCTGGGAGGGATGATACTGTTAGGGAGACAAAAGCCCCAGGTGGGAAGAACAGAGCAGCGGTAGGAATAGCTGTCTGTGGCCTAGCCCGGGGAAAGCCAGGGTCAGAAGGGCTTTTGAGGAAGACAGTCTGTGTCTTCCAGAGCTGAAGCATGGGAAGGGTCCCGGGAGAGATGGTCCTACTTATCTTATGCACCGAGCACTCAGATTTGGTTTTCTTTTATTTTCTTTTATGATGAGGTTATTTATGGATTTGAGAGAGAGAGGGAGAGTGTGGGCATGAGCAGGAGTGGGAGGGGCAGAGGAAGAGAAATCCTCAAGCAGACTCACAGCTCAGGTGCAGAGCCTGACCCTGAGCTCCATCCTAGGACCCTGAGATCATGACCTGAGCCAAAATCAAGTGTCTGACGCTCAACCGACTGAGTCACTCAGACACCCCAGATTTGGTTTTCTTCTTTTTTTTAAATGTTATTTATTTATTCATGAGAGACACACAGAGAAAGGCAGAGAAACAGGTGCCTCACGAGGAGCCCGATGTGGGACTCGATCCCAGGACCCCGGGATCACAACCTGAGCCAAAGGCAGATGCTCAACCACTGAGCCATCCAGGCATCCCATGATCCACCCAGGTATCCCCAGATTTGGTTTTCTTAAGTGGTCTGCCCACAGTGTTCACTGGTGGCACTCAAGAGGCAAACCTAGCTCTGGGGGCTCTGACCACTACTACTCCTCTTCTCCAAAGTTAGAGGTCAATCTCTGGGGCCCACTGGACAGTGTTTCCAGTGTCTGAGGCCAGTCTGCTATCCCTACTGTTCCTTAAGTCAATGGAGTGCCTCTTTGGTGGCCGAATAATATAATTTTAATTACTTAATAATTTAGCACTTAGCAACTTTTAAAATAGTTTCGTTAAAAGAAGAAGAGGGGGGATGCCTAGGTAGCTCAGCGGTTGGACATCTCTCTGCCTTTGGCTCAGGGCCTGATCCCCGGTCTGGGGATTGAGTCTCCACATCGGGTTCCCTGTGAGGAGCCTGCTTCTCCCTCTATGTCTCTGCTTCTCCCTCTGTGTCTTTCATGAATAAATAAATAAAATCTTTAAAAAAAAAAAAAGGAAGAAAAAGGCCCATAATTCCAACTGACTTGTTGGTTTAAAAAATTAAAAAGGTGATAAGCGCCCATAGTGGCGAAAGTGAAATGTTTTAGAAAGTATAGAGGCAAGACTCCCTCTTGCCCCTCAGACTTTTTCCTTAAACATGGTGTTCTTCAGTTTTTTAGTGTCTTTCCAGATATCAGGTGTAGTTTTCAATCATGCCTTGCTGATTTCTTGCTGCATAACCTTGGCTCAGTCACCTAATCATGCGAAGCCTCAGCGAGCCTTGTTGATAGGAGAATGAAAAAATGTCATGAACACGCGTGGCCTGGCATAGAGCAGGCATTGGGGTGGGTGAGCTGCCTAACGTGCTCCATAAAGCATAAAAAGTGTCGTTTGTGGGCCCGTGGGCAGACACCTGAGTCTTTTGGACATGCTTGCTGGGTCATGAGGGAATTTGGCTTCTTTGTCCAGAAGTTAGCGTAGAGGTCCTGATTTTTGAAAGCCTCTGGAGGTCAGACCTTTTAAAATGTGAATATTGTTCCTTGAAACTAGGGAGGCAGAGGTAGAGGACAGTGGCGTCTTGCAGCCTCACTTTTGTTCCCTTGGCCCTTGGTACTTGCCTTGTTCCTTGGCGGAGCCAGGAGTGAGTCCTGATGGCCAGACCCCAGCTGGGGGCCTTTTCTGGGAAGAAGGGGGTGTACAATCTAATCCGCTCAGCTTTTTGCTCAGCAGAGGGCTTGGCTGTATACATTCTGTACCCTGTTGGGGGTGGAGGGGATCACATTCTTGTGCTGCTCTGCTACCATTAAGGAGCTTTTCTGGGAACTCCATAGTGCTTTTTTTCAACCTTATTTAGGGAAGAGGTATCCTCCCCTGCCAGGACTTCCTGGCCCCAGGCACCTGTGTCCCCTCCCCATCCCCCCACCCCAGGGAAGTGGTACAAGGAGCTGGAAATTCCGGAGCCTCTACCATCAGTCTGTGACCCCTTGTCTACCCATTGGCGACATTGAGCATCCCGGGCAAGAGTCTCCAGGAGCACTATGGGGTTTCCTGAAGGATTCCTCAACTTTCTAGAAGCATCAGGGGCAGCTATCAAGACACCTGAGTGGAGGCCCAAGGGGCCCATTGCCCCCACTGCTGGGCTGGCTGCTTTGAGCAGCGCTGGCCGCCTGGACTCCCTTATCCTGAGTACTCAGCTCAGAGAAGGCTTCTTATCTCACTCAGGCTCTATCACTCTCAGGGCTCCTCCTGGGTTGAGGCATGCCAGGTCTGTTTGGCAGCTGTTTTCCCCTACCTAGGAGCAGTTTTCAGGGAGAAGCTGGGTATGGGGCAGGAGAGGGGCGTCCCCCAGTGGGGCCATGGGTACTGCTGGCTCTTCTTCAGCCTTGGCTCCCGGTTCCCCGGGACACCCTCCCCTCCCAGTGCCGTGGCACCACGGGGCCTTGCCCAGCTCCCTTTGAGGTGACCTTCCCTCCTCGCCCTGCCTCTCAGAGGAAACTGGTACTTTAAAGAGTCACCCTGCTCCTTCCCCTTCCCAGGAACCACAGTGAATTCTTGAGCTAGGAGAGGCTCCTCAGGGCGTGGGGACAGGGAAGCTGCTAGGTACCTGACTCTACCCCTAAGGAATTCAGCAGAGACTAGAGTCTTCTCTCAAGACACCTGACTCAGTGTTCCCAGGGTTTGTTGAGAGGGACACCTGGGCACAGGACTGTTTGACTCTAGTCAATAATATTATTCTTGGATCCTTCTTGCTGAGGAGCAGGGTGTCCAGGAGCCTTGGTCTGAGGCAGGGCCCACAGAGGTATCCCCAGCAGGATGCCAGGCATGATGTCTCCATGACCTGGCCTTGGCTGGAGACTTGAGGATGGGGGGTGAGGAAGTTCCCTGAGTGGCCCCAGCCCGGGGGTCCTCGGGGTCAGTGGTTCCCAACTAGAGAAGACCTTTACCTCCTTGATCTCTATTCAGTCCTTGCTGTTCACTCATTCGTGCGAAAAGTATCTACTGGTGCCTCCACATGCCCAGCGAGGTTTAGGCAAAATCCTTACACAAAGCAGAGCTCTGTCACCCCAGGACTCACATTCTAAAGAGTGGGGAGCGTGAGTAACAGGAAACCAGCGGAAGTAATAAAATCAAAGTGTTAAAAGGTGATTCGAGGTGCACAGAATAAAAACAAAGTAGGGGCTGGGGACCCTGGGGTGGGGAGCAATTTGCAGCTTGAGAAGGGTGGCCTCAAGGATAAGGCTGCATCTGAGTACAGACGTGCAGGAAGTGACGGGGTTCCTCAACGGACACGAGTGTGTCTCATGTGTCAGGGTATTAACTGCTGTGGGTACAACCATGGACAGGACAGGTACTCCCCCTTTCCCCTGCCCCCCCCCCCAACTGACATCTTTTGGAAGTTCCTTGGGTCAGGTTTTCAGGTGTTGAGCCAAGTAAGAGGCTGTGGAATGGGCCTGATAGGATAGGCCAGGCCACCCACCACTCCCACCCCAGGCAAGTTGTCCAACCTCCTCCCC